GGGTGTTGAATTTGATAAGTTCTTAATAGATTTTGGATACTAGCCCTTTATCTGATATGTCATTTGCAAATATCTTCTCCCATTCGGTCAGTTGTCTTTTGGTTTTGTTGACTGTTTCTTTTGCTGTGCAAAAGCTTTAAAAAAAAAAAAAGACAAAATAATTGTATTTGTTAAATTGGGGTATGAGTACGTAAGTGTTTATTACATTATTCTTTGCATTTCTCTATATTTAAAATATTTTTAAACGAAAATCACGGATGAGGCCACACTAAGCTGTACCATATATCAAAATTTATCATAACGTTGAGGTAATAACAATATTGTGCTACTTTCCTTGGAAAAGATAGGTAGATCAGTGCAGTAGAATGAAGTGAGAAAAAAATTGGACTTCTCTTACAAGAAGTTTTAAACTATAATTTCATGTATTTCCCCCTTATAGTCAGTATATGTAAAAAATAGAAGTTAAATTATTTTAAAATTTTAAATCATTTAAAAATGTTCTAATGTGTACATACATTCACTTTAAGAATGATTTAAGGCTACAGATGGAAGCTCAGCGTATATGCCTCTCTCTGGTGTATTCAACACATGTGGATCAAGTTCGTGAATATATGGAAAATGAAAAAGATAAAGCTCTTTGTAGTCTTAAGGAGGAACTTCTTTCTGCCCAAGAGGAAAAGATAAAGGAACTTCAGGAAATACACCAGCAAGAGCTACAGAATATAAAAACGCAAGAAACAGGTAAATGGTTTCTTTTTTTTTTTTTTTAAAGATGTTATTTATTTATCTGAGAGAGAGCACAGAGGGAGAAGGAGGAGGAGAGAGCCTGATGCGGGGCTTGATCCCAGGACCCCAAGATTATGACCTGAGCTGAAGGTAGACGCTTAACTGACTGAGCCACCCAGGCACCCCTGGGTAAATGGTTTCTAAAAAAAATCGTTAAGTACTATGAAACAAATAAGTATCACTTAGAGCCCACTCACCATTCCATAATTTGTCCTTGTCTTACAACCCATAGAGGAAGGGAACTGTATACCCCAGTCCTGGATTCATTTGTTCATATAATCATTGCACATTTTTTTAAGTGCTTGAGAAATCTAAAATCACTGAATCATTTTCCCCCAGAAGTTACAATCAAGTGGGAAAGCAATAGGACAATTTCTGTAATAGAAGAATGACTAGAAAGAATGGAAGAAGAAAGGAGAAAAGTTTCATACTTTCTGGGAGGATGAGTGGGGTGAGGCCGCAGTCAGGGGGAGGGAGATTGGGTAGGGAAGGCTCCTGAGTCTTGAACATAGAAGTTTGAAAGATTGTATCCATTTTGGGCAATTGAGAGTTCAAGTTATGTGAGAAAGTAGTGGGGGATAAAGCTGGAAAGATTGGCAGGAGTTTGATCAGAAAGGGCTTTATATACTCTGACTGAAGCCTGTATAGGCCTTATGCTATTGGTGATAAGACCTGTAGGATTTTAAGTAGTGGGAGTAACAGTAAAATTTTAAGGTAACACCATGGGGCAAAGTGGGGGAGGTGATTAGTGATGGGAAGACCAGTTAAGCAACTTCGGCAATAATTCTGCTAATAATATTTGTAACAGTTAAGTTTAAGAGGTAAAAGAGGTAGGCTGTAGTCTGCAGTTAATATGAGGAGGAAAGGGGCAAAATTGAAGGTGATCCCTAAGTTTCTAGCTTGGGTAATTGGATTGAAAATGACTGTAGTCACAAAGAGGATGCAGAGCAGATCTGTGGGAAAAATAATAAATTCAGTTTGGTACATATTGAGTTAAAAGTACCTATTGACTTTATTAAAAGAGTTGTCTAGAAGGTAGTTAAAAATAGAAGTCCAAAACACAAGAGGGAGGTTTGGGCTCACGATAAAGATTTAGAAATCAAAAGGTCACTTGAGGCCAGAGAAAAGAATGAGATGTCCTGGGAGACTGCAGTGTGGGCCAAAAGACTAAGATGGCACTGTGGCAAGCAGGAACATATAAGGAACCTGAAATAGAAGACTAGTTGCAGTTAAATTTTATAATTATTTAATCACTCAATAAACTAGACTTCCTCTGTTCAAGGCATCTCTAGGCTTTTACCCGTGACAGATCTGTTTTTGAGACTGAGATTGTTATGTTTGTCCAATTGCTCTGTTAAACTGAGTAGAATTTAAAGAGTGACTTAAATCAGAATATCATACTTTTCACTAAAGGAGTTCTTTGGGTTTGAATGTAATAAGATGTTAAGTGTGTGTTGTTTTTATTGATATCCTCTTCAGATAGAATCTGTCCAGTGATTTTCAACTACAAGTTAATTGGTCTGCTAATGGTTGATGAAGTTAGTTAGTAATGACCAGCATTTTTTTAAATAAATAAAAGAGTATAGGAGAACAGAAAACAACAGAGTGTATAGCATGTAGAAAGGGCAGATAATGATTTGTGAAATTCTTGTTTCAGTTTTCCATGGATGTATAAATAGGTTATGATGTATGATGTATTTCTTGTGTTGGGTAGTAATAAAAAAAAAATTTGTAAGTCACTGCTTTATACCAGTTTGTAGGATATAAACAGAATTTTACAAATTATCTGAAACAGTTAACATTGAACAGTGGAAAATAACTTAGAAAGAAATAAAGAATTTAAAACTAATCTTATTGTAAAGGAAGCTTCCAGTTGATACAGGTTTAATATGATAATAGTACTTAAGTATACGAATTAAATGTTTAATGCGGTATCTGTTCTATTAGGTGGTGAAGCGAAGCCTTTACAAATGCTCATTGGAAAACTACGCAAGGCAGTGTCTGAAGAATGTTCTTATTTTGCACAGGTAAGATAGTGGTTAAAAAGTACTTTTAGACAAGAAATGCTATACTTCAGAACTGCACTTAGAAAATATTCCTGAGTTTTTAAGTTTAAAATGAACATTTAAATGTTTCCTGATAATCTTTTGAAACAAAAGAAATTGAAGTAAATTATCTTAGCAGTAGAACAGACAAAAGGTATACCTAATACAAAAAAAAAAAAGTGGACCAATAGAACCCCAGACAGGTCTGTTTCCTGCCCTTGCCCACTTACTGGTTGAGTGTATCTGATTACTAATTTGGGGAGGTTGCACAAGACCAGTGAGATACAATTTCACAGTTCAGATTGCCAAAATCTAAAAACCCTAATTATGCCAGGTATAATTATATTTGTGAAGATGGGGTGAAATAGAAGCTCTTATATACTGCTAGTGGGAAAGTACTACCTTGAGAAGCATATTGGCAAGGTCTGTTTTTGAAGTTATATACATCCCATAGCCCAAGCATTTGTGCACAACCAGATCTGTTCATTGCTGAAGTGTCTTTAAGTTAAAAATGGGAAACAACTCAGATTACTATGAATAAAGGTAATAAATAAATTGTGTTACCTCCATGCAGTGGAACTCCATTTAGCAGTGTTTGATATCTGTATCAATATCAATAAATCTCAAAAGAAAAACATATATAGCATGTATGCTAGAGTAATTACCTTTGGGTGAGGAGAAAGGTGAAGAAAATGGGTAGGCAGTACTTAAAACAGAGCTTCAAATCTCTGTGTAACGTTCAATTTCTGTAAAAAAACATGGAGATAATATGACAAAATATTACTATTTGTTTAAGGTAGGTAGTTATTTTTTCTGCATATTTGAAATAGTTCAGAATTTAAAATATATGCTTTGGCTTATCCCAGGCTTTTGTATTTATAAATTGAAGGGGGAGGAGGGTGGTATTAGTTGGGACAGGTAGAGCTACCTTACTGATTCTTTTTTTTTTTTCTTTTTAAGATTTTGTTTATTTATTTGAGAGTGAGAGAGAGACCGGGGGTGGGGGGGAGAGAGAGAGAATCTTGAGCAGACTGCACTGAGCAGGGCACCCAACCCAGGGCCCGATCTCATGACCCTGAGGTCATGACCTGAGCTGAAACCAACAGTTGGACACTTAACCAACTCAGCCACCCAGGTGCCCCTGATTCTGATTTCCCATAATATTGTTCAAAAAATGTTTTGCAAAAAACCTCAAAAAGTGAGATATAACCACACTTAAGGCTTCTCTTCATTCAGCTACTCAGCATTCTACACCTCCACCTCTGCCAAAGGGTTCAGGCATTGTCCTTTCATATCTATTGTTGATAGTCAGTAAATAATGGAAAGAGGGCCCAAGTCACAGTAGTTCATTTATAAGCTGACATTATATGTTCTTTCCTTTTGTTACTGTCTTTACCTGATCACTAATCTCAAGTTGAAATATGAATCAGCTTGTTCTTATAGAGGGGTCCTCTGGGATTCTTCATGAAACCTGGTTTTGTCACTAATTTTTGATGTTGCCAGAATCAGACGTTTAACCGACTGAGCCACCCAGGCATCTCCATATATTATAATTTCTGTAGAATTTATAGACTACTTTCTAGTCACTTTTTTTTTTTCCCCCAAAGTAACTTGCTCTATGCCCAACATGGGGCTTGACCTTATGACCCCAAGATCAAGAGTCACATGCTCTACCAGCTGAGCCAGCCAGGCGCCTTTATAGGGGTCATCATTTTTTAACTTCTGCCCTTGTTTTCTGGTGTTTTTTCAAGGGTAGTTAACATTACAGAGATAACGTCAATCTAGGATCCAAGCTAGAAAATGGTAGATTAAAGTACAAGCTATATTCATTATTAGAAGCAGAAAAAATAGTTTTGTGCAATTAAGATTGTCAGTATTTTCCTGCTGTAAGAAGAATTTCATGTCCTATATAAAGAGAGGAAGATTTAGACTTGACTGTTTCTTTTGCAGACTGATAGGGTGCATGGAAGAGTGTTTTCTTACTGATTTTTCTCTGCCATTTTGACTGTCTTTTGCATTTAGGAAAATAATGTTTAATGGTTTTCAAAGGCAGACATCAACATTTTAATTCTGTAAAATACCTGATTTTGTTGTTAATAGACTTTTTGCAATGTCCTTGGTGAACATTATACTCCTGCTTTAAAATGTGAAGTAAATATAGAAGAGAGAGAGAGTTCTGGTGTTCACACTTCTGAAAATCAAGAACTAGAATTGCAAGATTATAGATATGAAGTTCAAGGTAATAAAATCTGACCACATTATCTTCTTAAGTCATTTAATGATAAACTTTTACTTTAAATCATGATTCAATCACTTAATATCTTTTTGGATTCATGCAATCTTATATTTAATACAGATTTTTATTTTTGTAATGCAGTAATTGTGATATAAAGAGAACCAAAGATGTCTGCAAGTTTCCTTGTCTCTTTATCCTTTATTCCTCTACTCCCATGTTTTTCGTTGTTCATAATTCTATCCTTAATTTTACACCATAGATCCAAAACTTTGAAAGTTATTGTATTTATTAAATACATTTATGTCAGTGATTTTTTTTTAAAGAATAAGAAGACCTACATTATCTTTCTTAATAAGAATCCTGTATTAGTTTATTTTTACAAATTATGATCTCAATTAATTTTTTTAGAGGTAAAATGTCTTCTACCCCTGTCCATTTATATGAATAATGAACAAAATGTATACAAATTAATGAATACCAAAAGACATTAACATATTTTAATATGAAATCATCAAGTTATCTTTGTAGCAGGTCTTTTACATTAATGAGATTGAACTTTTTGGTAACTAAATATATGAAATTTACTTTTAGCAGGCAATTTTCTAAAGTTATGAATAGATAAATAATACTTATTGAAAGAAGCAGACTTTTACTATGAAATGAAATTATTATAATTGTTTATCATCTAGACTTGCAAGAAAATATGCAAACTCTTCTCAACAAAGTAACAGAAGAATACAACAAACTCTTGGTACTTCAAACACGATTAAGTAAGGTCTGTGAAATGGAAAATGTATTATATTTTCATTTATTGTATTATGTGCTGTTTTGTAAGCTTCACCAGGAATTCTAAAATAAGTGAACATGATAAATTGGGGGGAAAGTGACGTATTTATAATATCAATGAGCTAAAGGAATTTCTGCAAGTTGAATATTTATTTACCCCTTTAGAGAGTTTTGGAAATCCTGATAAAATAAACATAAAATGTCAGATTGTAAACTTGGTGAAACAGTTGTATTTAATTTTACATTTAACAGTTTTGTTGTTGTTGTTGTTGTTGTTTTTTTAAAGATTTTATTTATTTGACAGAGAGAGAGCACAAGCAGGGGGAGCAGTAGAGGGAGAGGGAGAAGCAGGCTCCCCGCCGAGCAGGGAGCCCAATGTGGGACTCGATCCCGGGACTCCAGGATCATGACCTGAGCCGAAGGCAGCTGCTTAACCAGCTGAGCCACCCAGGCGCCCCTACATTTAACAGTTTTAAAGTAGTGGGTCTGTTTTAGAGAAAAATGAAATTAGTGTAGTTGTTTAGAACATAGCTAACGTGTTATATATGTCAAATTTCTTTCAAGTAGTTGTTTTAGAAATGTGTGCATATAAAACTCAGAGAGTATAGATGGCATAGTATGATTTATTAACTATATCAGGAAGATAAACAGCATATATTGGCAAAGATAAATGTTGTAATCTTCATGTTGTAGAAGAAAATCCAGAAGGATCTCTGTGTCTGTTTATTTGCGATACTTTTGATGTCATTATATTAAATTGGGTGGATTTAAAAGATTTAACTAATAGGGAGTGAAAGTTCTCTCAGTGATGAGATCAGGATGCTGTAGCTGAAATTCTTGTCTTTTTCTTTCTCTTCCCCTCCCTCTTTCTTACCTTCTGTCTTCCCCTATTTTTCCTTCCCCCTTTCCCTCGTTCCTTTTCTCTTTCTCTTCCTGTGCAAGTAAGCAAACTTTATCTTGCCTTTTCTAAAACTTATGAACCTACCCCAGTATCTTACAGATGACTTTGTAGGAGGGAGGGTTAAAGAATCCTTCTTTAACTCTACATTTCCCTACAATAATTACTTTTCTATTTCCCTTCATAGCCAAAGTGTTGAACCCTATTCAGAATCATCATACCATTTCCTTACCAGTAATCTTAGCAGTTTGGATTTTTTGTTTTTCTGCTGCCCTCATCCTGCTTCCAGGGAACCTTTTTCTCTACTCATACTTGGGTTACTGAGGGCTGCTAAGAAAATTAGATGTGGATGTGGTTTAGTGACACCACGTAATCATGGTCTGACATTAGCTGGACCCTGTGGATCACTTGACAATTCTGGTCATTTATCCTCTCATAGTCCCTTCAGTATTTCCCAACTTCACAGCTTCTCCTCAAGTCATATATTCCACTTCTACTCCCCTTTTTGTCTTTGCAGTTGGCCTTATCTCTTATTTCTCTGCAAGTATCAGAGCTATCAGTTATAAATTATCTCAGCCTGCTGCCTCTAGACCTTATGTATTTCTTTAAATCTGTGAATACCCTAATTTATTTTCCTTCTGTCTGAGAAGATGTTACTCCTTTTCATAACCAAGGTTATTTTATTTCCTGTGCTTTTGTTAGTATCCCCTTCTACCTCCTCTAAGATTGATAACCTGTCCCTTCCCTCTCTCCTGTGATTTCAGCTCCTTTGTCTCTGTTTTTTCTCTGTTTCTGTCCTTTCCCCTAACACATTCCTCACATCTCTCCTATTTAGAACATAACCAGTCTTCAATCCTGTATCTTCCTTTGTGGTCTCTTTCTCCTTCATTGTCATCTTCTTTCAAAGAAAGAATAAACTGAAGCCAGAACTTCCCATCTCTTCTCTCTCTTCTACCCATTGTAAGCAAGCTCTTGACTTACACTTCACTATGCTTTCTTTGGCAAAAGTCAGCGGGGATTTCCTTTTTTTTTCTCCCCAAGTTTTTACTTAAATTCAAGTTCATTAACAGCAGTGAATTCTTGTCAGATTTCCTTTCTGTTTTCTTACTTCCTTGTTTTCTTTCTTTTAAAAATGTTGCTTTTCCTATGTCAGTACACAGTTGAAGCTATTAAATAGTGTAGGAGGGCTTATAGTAAGTAATCCACAGTGACGGATTTGTGAGTGAGTGAGTGATTTGTCATTTTGCCTCTTTCCTTTTAGGATGGTGAGTGGGGAACAATTTGCTTTGATGAGACACACACCTCCCTTCCCCAGTGCCAGAATGTGGGAAGCTTAATCTGGAACACAAACACCCGCACTAACTTCTTTAGCTCTCCCCAGAAAAAAAAAAGTGAAAAAGTGAATTTCACCTTTTAACCCAGTAAGGTAGCTACAACCACAGAGGTATCCCAGAGGTTGGTTGGGATCACACTTGGCACTACCATACATTACTGCCTAACCTGTTAGCCTCATCTTCCAATCCTCCTCCTCATTTTAGCCCTACTGAAATACTTAGAGTGTCCCAAATGCACCCTGATCTTTCACACCCCTATTGCATGTTGTTTTTTCTGCTGAACAGTGTGCATCTACCTCCAGTCTGCTTGGTGTGTTCCTACTTGATCTAGTTGGTTCAAATGTTACTTCCTTTGTGTCCTCTTTACCTATCTTTCTAGACTTCGCCATTTCTTCCTCCATTTTCTTAGTATCTATACAAGCCTTTGCTTATTACACTTATCTTTTTCTGTTATTTTAAATATTCCATGACCCCCGTCTTTTTTCCCTGTTCCCATAGCTCCTTATACAAATTTGCATTTATTACTTTTCTTGTTATTATAATTATTTATTTACTCTTTTCCTAGCTTTTAAGCCTTTCAGAATGAGAGAGTCTTCTCTTTATTTTTATTTCCTCTTCTTAGCATGGTGCTTGGTTATGCACATGGTAAAGGCTTAATAAATGTTTGCTGAATGAATTAAGTGAAGGAATAGAAAGGTTAGGCTGGGGTGCCTGGGTGGCTCAGTTGGTTAAGCGACTGCCTTTGGCTCAGGTCGTGATCCTGGAGTCCCGGGATCGAGTTCCGCATCGGGCTTCCTGCTCGGCAGGGAGTCTGCTTCTCCCTCTGACCCTCCTCCCTCTCATGCTCTCTGTCTCTCATTCTCTCTCTCTCAAATAAATAAATAAAATCTTTAAAAAAAAAAAAAAGAAAGGTTAGGCTGGAAAGTGAAGAATTTACCTGATGGGCTTTATTTTCTTTGGGAAGTAAGAGGCAAGGTCCTCTGTTGAAATGTACTCAGGCAGTTAGGCATGGGGTAGAGGACTTGATAAAAGTAATAACCAACTGAAATAGCCTTCATCAGAAATAGCTTTTATCCTGTTGCTCACCTGCTTTTTGTGGTATCTTTTGTTCATCTAGTATAGCAAGTCCAGACTCTCCTCTTGCTTTTTAAAGTGCTTTGTAGTCTAGATCTTTCTTATTTCTAGTGATCTTCCCCCATCCTTATCCAAATTAAACCCCTCTCAACAAGATCATTGTTTTCAGTAGTTATAGGATGGCTGTTCTTTCACAAATGCTTACTCTTTCTTCCTTACAGCTTTTCCTAATCATTGCCCAAAGCGATTGAGGCCCAAGTCATGTTTGACTTACTCTGTAATTACACACATCAGTCTTTCTGTTATTGCCCTTAAAGTAAATTATAGTTTAGTGCTTCTTGTTTTTTTTAAGAGACGGAGAGAGGGATGATGCAGGGGGTGAGGGGTGCAGAGGGGGAGAGAGAGTCCCAAACAGGCTCCACATCCAGTGCGTAGCCTGACGTGGTGCTGGATCTCATGATCCTGAGATCATGACCTGAGCTGAAAGTAAGAGTCCGACATTTAACCGACTGAGCCACCCAGGTGCCCCTCTAATTGTTTAATTTTATTTCCCCCACTAGTTGATAAATTCTGTGAGGGCAGATACCGTATTTTTTTTAACTGATTTTTGTCTTAGTTTCCCTTGTCACAGTGCTAGTCGTGTAGTAGATGATTATTAAGTATCTGATGAATAAATTAATACACATACGCATCTGGCAAATTGCTGCCTAATTTTAATAGTAAGGAAACAACTTGAGATTTATCTGTTTTCATTATTTTCCTTACTTTTGTGTAAAGAACAGCATACCAATTGTCAGTTTCCTGGAGGTACATAGGTTATAGCCAGAAATTCATAAAGTTATATTATCAATTTTTTGTTTTTTAAAGGAAGCTTGATTTTTTTTTTTAATATTTTATTTATTATTTGACAGAGAGAGAGAAAGAGACAGCTAGAGAGGGAACACAAGCAGGGGGAGTGGGAGAGGGAGAAGCAGGCTCCCAGCCCAGCAGGGAGCCCGATGCGGGGGCTCAATCCCAGGACCCTGGGATCATGACCTGAGCCGAAGGCAGATGCTTAACGACTGAGCCACTCAGGCACCACTCAGGTGGAATACTTTATCAAGTATTGATAAACATAAAATTTACTGGGTATGAGTTGAAATTCCAAAGCCCAAGTCACATTATAAATATTATATGAGCTTTATACCAAAATTCTGTGCAGTTTCTGTTTTTCTATTAAAATGAACTTTCTGGGTATGACTGAACAATATACTTACTAATATAATTGCAGTGCTGTGAAGGGAATGTGAATCACTGTCAGAAGAAAGCAAAAAATAAGTTGGAAGGGAAAGTATTTGTATCAGTGTGTTAGAATTCTGAGTGATTTTGAATGAAAACATTTACAGTGTAAAGCTGCTTTAATACAGTTTTCAAAATGCTGGATCATATATTTATGTCACTCCTTTTCTGTTATTTTCAATAGGTTCAGGGACAGCAGACAGATAATGTGAAACTTGAGTTTGCAGAAGGAAACCTACCAAAAGAGGAAACAGAGTTATCAGCCTCTCAGATGACCAGTTTGCAAGACATTGGTAAATTTTGATTATCTACCATGGTGTAGTGTTTTTATATCAAATATTTGGTCTTTTGATTTTTTACTTTAAAATTTGAAACAACCTTGTGGTCTTGGGCATTTCACTATAATTCCTCTCATCTCAGCTTGCTCGTTCTCATGTGGAAGGTTTGGACTACTCCTCTCTCTGACTCCTTTTCACTTGTTCTGTGAGTCGCAATTGTTTTCCGTTTAAAGACATGCTATTGGTACATTTAGGGGCACTACAGACGTGAAGATAGAAGAAATGATCTTGAATTGCACTGTTCATTTTTTTTGTTTTCATCAGTCAAAATGAGTCTCAGTTGAAACTTATTACTACTAAAAAAGCATTATTTTTTCAAAGAAGAATGAATAATCTCTGCACACACAAAAAAAGTGATTGTGCTATTTCAGTAAGAAATTTATGGGGTTTTATTTTGTTTGTTTTTTGGGGTTTTTTTTTTTTTTAGATTTTCTTTATTTGACAGAAAGAGACAGTGAAAGAGGGAACACAAGCAGGGGGAGTGGGAGAGGGAGAAGCAGGCTCCCCGCTGAGCAGGGAGCCTGATGCAGGGCTCAGTCCCAGGACCCTGGGATCACGACCCGAGCTGAAGGCAGACACTTAACGACTGAGCCACCCAGGCGCCCCTCAGTAAGAAATTTGCCTTGAAATGTGTATTTTCTTCTCTTCCTATAACTTAGATGTCTGTCATGAAAGCAAGTTATCTCTGCAAGATTCTGAAAAAATTAAACAACTTGAAGGACAAGTTCAAGAATTAGAAAACCTCATATCCTCTTTGCAGCAACAATTGAAAGAAACTGAAGAAAACTATGGGGCAGAGATCCACTGTTTGCAGGAAAGACTTCAAGCTGTCACTGTATCCACAGTTCAGCCAAGGTACCCATCCATTTACAGTTTCATTCAGCAGTATTTATAGCTTAGTAACAATCATAGCATGATTGTTTTTCAGTAGAAAATGTAACTTAAGCAAAGTTGCTTGAAAGAGACAGCATGCCGCATTATCAAGAAATAAGAACAGAAGATAATTCTTTGAAATGTCTGAAGTAAATGCTGTTATAAACCAAAGACATTCTATTATAGGGATTTTACTTACACCTTTATTTTATAAAGATTCTGGTTGTTGTTAATCTGTTGGATTAAATCAGAGAGTGTGCATGTATTTGTTACTTATCACATGCCTGGTCTTTACTACTTGATGTGGGGCATACCCAAGAAATATAAGATATGATCATTTCAGTCATGGCTGGACTTTCTCCACCTAGTTGTCTAATACTCAGATTCACTGTGTCCAAAATAGAACTCCGGATCTTTCCCTGGAAATTTGCTCCTTCTGCAGCCATCTCCATCTGAGGTGACTCTTCTTTCTCTCCTACTTCACTTCCAGTCTATCAAGAAATCCTGTTATCTCTGCCTCCAAAATACATCTAAACTGGACCACTTCTCACTAGCCCCCTGCCCATCATCTCTCACCTGGGTTACTACAACAACTGATCTCCCTGTTTCTACCCCAACTCTTTCCTAAAGTCTGTTCTCAACTCATTTCCACAACTTTGCTTTTAAAATTTTTAAATTTGCTTTTAAAATTTAAGACTGATCATGTTAGTCCAGTGCTCTTCTGTCCTAACAATGCCTTACTCAGTCCTTCATGATGGTTCCTTGTTATCACTTGGACTTTATCTCCCACTGACTTGCCTGTCACTATTCTCACACCACACATTCTCCTTGAGATCTTCAGACCATCAGAATCCTCCTGCTTCAGAGACTTTTCATTATCATTTCTTCTACCTAGAATGCTCTTTCTCCAGATATTTACATGCCCAGCATGCTTTGGGTCTTTATGCAGATATCATGTTCTCATGAGGCCTATACTGATCACCCAATTTAAATTAAAATTGTTCTTTAGAACTCTGTACACTAATTTCCTGCTTCATTTTTTTTCTGTATTACTTAATAGTGTCTGTTTTACATATGTAAAGCTGTATATGTATAAAATAAAAAAAAAGTCTATATATATTTGTAGGGGACTTTGTTTTGTTTGCTTTATTGTCTGCCTTTTATGAAAGACTTAAAGCTTGGTAATGGTGGGGATTTTTGTCCATCTGAGTCAATGATGTATCCCACACCTTGTAATAATTCCTTCTGCATGGTAGGTGCTCAATAAATGTTTGTTAAATGAATGAGAGAACAGCTCATAACTTAGGAAGTATGCTTTAATATTTAAACTACCTCTATAAAATGTTCAGAGATTTAATCTAACTTTGACTGGCTCTGCTGTTCTAGGATTGATATCTTCATAGGCACTTATTAATGGAATCTCAAGCCAAAAAAAGATTTTTTTCCTTTGAGACAAAATACTAAATGTCCACACTTCGTTGGAATTAGTTTGTTTCTCCTTCTTTTATTCGGAGTCTGTATGTAGGCTTTGGAATTATTCACCCAGCCTTGGCACAGACTTACAAAGCTTTCATCTTATTTGAGATTAGTGGCTCTTAAACTTGGCCATGCATCAGAAACACCAGAGGTTTCTGAATACTTAAAATTAGATTACTGGATTATGCATTTGGAGAGTCAGACTCAGTAGCTTTGGGATGGACCCTGGACATTTGTATTTATAACAAGATAATTCTGTTGCAGATAGTTTATGGATTGACATTTAGAAACTACTACTTTGGGTTTTCTGATATGAAAGAAAATAAGTAGATAGCAGGAAGTCTCTAATAATCAGCTACAATGTTTCAAGTAGCCTTCCTTTAATTAGTGATGCTTTCTCTCTAAAGCATGAAGAAAAGGGAGTTTTCTGGAAATGGAGACTTATTTGGCAATTATTGCATTTGAGCTTTTGTCAGCTTACCACCCTCTCTCAGAGTTTCTGTAATGTCAGTGGAAGTGTGTTGACAGTACCTTTCCACTAAGACCATTAGTTTTCTACCCCCCCCTCCCAAAAAGAGGTTTACTGACCCATGTTCACTCCTACTAATAGTGATGAATCAAAGTTATTTCTTGTAAACGTCATCACATTTTTGGATACAATTATGATACTTTTTGAATAAAGAATATGTGAATAAAGAGTTTTCTGTTCTTCTAAGATAGATTTGAGCTAGTTTAAAAAATAATTGAGTCATTCATTTAACATATATTTGGAGCTGGTATACTAAAAGCCTTTTAAAGGTCTCTTAGAGCCTCTTGGAATGACTATTGGCTTAAGAGTCAGATCTGCATTTGACACCTGATTTAACCTTTTACTGGCTATATGATCTTGGGCAGATTATTTTAACATATCTAAGTAATATTAGGAACAATAAAAGTACTATCAAGATTGTGAGGAATAAATGAAATAGTGACAGAAATAAGCCTTGGCTAGATGTCATGGAGGAAGCTTTAGATCTATATAAAGTGGCCTTTTCCCTCAAGGGACTTCTAATCATTGAAATAGTACTTACTACAAAATAATTTTTAAGAAGTAGTAGGTTAAGGAATATAACATAGTGATAGAACCGAAGTGCTGGAATTTAAACCCATGTCTGTGTGGCATCTTTAACTGCACATTTTTGTAGTAATTGCCTATTGGAGTGGTTCCAGGGGAAATGGAAATGAAGGGATGAATATCAGATATTGGGATAGAAGGAATGTTGAGAACAAAGTGAAGGGGAAAAACAAAGATGACCCTGTGTTGTTTGAGCTAGAGAATATGGAGAATAATGGTATGTTAATATAAATAGAGAAGTAAGGCCAGTGGGGAGTAGGACCTTAATTATAAGAGGGGAGCAGTGAGTTTGGTTTTAGCCAGATTATTTTTTGAATTTGGGATAAACAGTTCCAAATTCTGTAAAGCTATAGAATGGAGTCATTGTGGACTAAGTACCATTTTTTATTAGAGTTTGGGTCTTAACAGCTGGATAAATAATTAGGAAGGCTTTCTAAGCTATGAAAAAAAGAATCAAAACATGGAACCAAGGATCAGAAGAGTGTATGCAAGAAGCAGTGAGGAAACAGACAAAATTGTGAGACAGAAGAACCAGGAAAGGGCAGAGAAGAAACAAAAGGGAGATAAGTTTTTACAATCATTTTAACATGAACCTAGAACACAAATAGGCAGTTCACAGGAGAAGAAACATACATGGGAGTAAAATTAATGTAACTTTTTGGAATATGGCATTATGTTAAAATTTTAAATATTAAGCCTAACAGTTATTTATAAGATTTATCATCATAGAGAAAATCCACAAATGTGTGCAAGATATATTTATGAGGATTTATATTGTAGCATTATTTGTAATAGTGAACATTTGGAAACAACCAAATGTCTGTCAGTAGGGGGTTAATTATGCAAGTTATTAAATGGGTTGATGATAACTTGTATCTGGCCAGTTTGGGACAGAATGAAAGAAGAGGATAGAAGAGAGAAAGGAGGAGCTGGGCAAGAGGGGGTGGAATAAAGGCAGCATGGGTGCACATGAAAATAGAAGTGAGAAATTGTATTAGCCAGAAAAAATTATAATTTGCCCCTTTATTCTTTTTCCCATGGTTGCTAAATATTAATCTTACCATGTTTTTATGACCCAAGTTAAGCATTCTAAGAAAACTTTTTTTCAAAAAATAATGCTTGTAAAACAATACAGAATAAAGACACGAATACCAAAAGACAAATGAATAGATTAAAAACAAAATCTGGAAGTGACTGTATAAATTAAGAATCTTCCTTTTCTTGCCTCTGCTCCCCAGTTCCGCTAGAGGTAATCATTGTTACTTTTGACATACATTCATCCAGAGTTTTTTCTGTGTCTGTGTATAAATAATTTTTTAATAAAAATGAGATTTTACAGACTTCTACTCAGTAATACCATAGATATTTTAAAAATGTCTGTACCTGTAAATAGCTCTACATCATATATTTGTAATACACTTTATAAAATGGCATAAAATTCAATGGTGATCTGTTGAAATATTCTCTCATTCAATTGTGTTAGTTTAGTTTTAAATGGAAAAATTAGTCAAAAATACGATTTAAGTCACAATACCTGTAACTCTTGATCTGTCGTCTTTGTTGCCCCTGCCCTAATACACATTTTATGCATGCTGTAAATTTGGACTAACAGTAAAACTCACAACTCTAATTCCTTCACTCTCTTTTATTTATGTTTAGTTTCTCCATTGATTCAATGGTAATTACTGAATCTGATGTCCGGAAAACAATATATCCTGGAAGTTGTCTAAACCAGAACATTGATGGTACAATAGAGGTATTATATCTTTAAACTGTTGTGTGCACGGATTTTATTTTTCTTACTGTCATTTTTATGTCTATAGTATTCAATTAATAGCTGCTGAGAGGTAAGCATAATAAGAGGATAATACCTTATATAAAAGACCCAGAAGAATATATAAAGAAATTTAATGTATTTTCATAGCATAGGACTAACACAGTTAAAATTGAGAGATTTTTTTTTCCCCCTAAGTATGTTCTAATTTTAAAATGTGTCTTGTTTTGTATAACATTAGCTGTGTAACAAATTAGTTTCAGTGCCCTTGCCAACAACTTTTCTTGCCACCATAGGAAGTTGAGCCAGACCACCTCTAGAATAGTATTTAGGAATCCTCAAAATTCAAGATGCTATGGCTGGGACAATAGACAAGGCCTCCTTCAGCACAGGCCATCTGATATATAAAAGCCCCTCATCTTTTACAGTATGGGCCAGCTGGCTAAGCCACATTCTGCCTGTCCTCAACATTGTATATACTCCCAGTTCATGGGCACTTTTCTGAAACTTACAACTACAAAACCCTGATCTTAATTCAGTAGATTTTTAATTTCTTAACTCCTATAGAAAACAAAGATCATTGCTTTCTCTTGTTTTGGATACAGAGGAGAGATGTTGGCTACGTATCTTGATTCTTCTACACTCATCCTATATGGAATATTCAGATAATTGGTAAACAATGAAATGCTTTGATGCTGAGAATATGTTTACATTTTTTAAAACTTTATGGTTTTTTCTAGTTATAAAGGTAATTTGTATTTGTAGAAAATTGGATAGTATTAAAAGATATTAAGAGGAAGATAAAATTTGCTTATAATTTCATAGGCAAAGATAGCCACTGTTAACATTCTTAAAATTAGATACTTAATTATATTTAAGAAGTGTCTTTATCACACCATAGAACTATATTAGTAATTAAAATATGTAAATATATTTCTCACTTAGCATCATTAAGTTCAGTGTAGTAAGTACATTATTTAGTAGAATTATACACTAGAATTATTCACCAGAATTATTGTTTTTAATTAAGAGCAGAACCAAAACTTGTTAAAACTTCTCAGAAGTTTTCTAAGAAACATTGATCTTTTGAGGATATTTGAGGGTAGAAGATTAAAAATAAGTGGTGTATAATTAGTATAAACAAGTATGTTATATTTTGCTTTTTAATTTAGTTTTCTGGTGACTTTGGAGTGAAACAGGAAACAAATATGGTTAAGTTGCTGGAAAAACAATACCAAGAACGATTAGAAGAAGAAGTAGCTAAGGTAAGTTTATAGTTTGTTAGGTTATTATGGTTTATATTCCCTTCAAGCCTTCAAAAAACATAGATTTTATTGATAGTGCACCTTTTTTTTTTAACTGTTTTAGTAGTTTCTGTATCCAGCATGGGGCTTGAACTCCTGACCCCAAGATCAAGAGTCAAATGCTCCACTGACTGAGCCACCCAGGCACCCCTGCACTTTCTTTTTTAAAAGTTTTATTACATAGCTTATCTTTAAATTGTCAGTTACTGGTATCAATCTCAGTTGCCTTTAAGTGGAATGTTCTGTGAACTTTTCTTTACGAAAAACATTTTTCTTGATATGGAAGAGTAATTGGAAACTTTTCAGGGGTGCCTGGGTGGCTCGGTCGGTTAAGCGTCTGCCTTCAGCTTAGGTCATGATCCCAGGGTCCTGGGGAGAAGTCCCACATTGGGTTCCCTGCTCAGTGGGGAGTCTGCTTCTCTCTCTCCCTCTGCCCCTCCCATGCTTGTGAGCACTTGTGCGCTCTCTCTCTTTCTCGCACTCTCTCAAACAAATAAAATCTTTAAAAAAAAAAAAAAACTTTTCAGAATGCCATAACAAGTCTTTATAAATTTGTTACCTTGTGAGTAGTACCTTGTAATGGAGTTTGGCCTCCCTTAAAGGTGGGGAATATGGTAGGAAATGAGATAGAAGGTGGTTAGTCTTTTATATATTCTCTTTGTCTGTCTCTTCCCAGAGAAGTCACTGTGATGTTAACTATAGATACTTTTAGCTGCTATGCCTAGAGATATTTTTTTAAACACTCTCTTTCTCTCTCTCAAATAAATAAATAATCTTTAAAAAATGCATATACCTGGGGTGCCTGGGTGGCTCAGTCGGTTAAGCGACTGCCTTCGGCTCAGGTCATGATCCCAGAGTCCTGGGATCGAGTCCCGCATCGGGCTCCTGGCTCGGCGGGGAGCCTGCTTCTCCCTCTGACCCTATCCCCTCTCATGCTGTTTCTCTCTCTCTCTCTCTCTCTCAAATAAATAAATAAATAAAATCTTTAAAAAAAAAAATGCATATACCTGATTGGGTTCTTATATTGGAACAGTTGAATTCTGATTTTCTCTGCTTTTTTATAATATTTCAACTGTTCTAGTATAACAATCCCAGTGGATATGTGCACTTTAAAGGAGGAGAATTGATAAGGTATACAGGATATACATAAGGAATTAGGTTAAACATAAATTAGGAGAGGAAGTCAAGACCCAAGGAAATATACGAGCCGTGGAACTTAATCACTTCTGTATTTATATTGAATGTTTGGTTCCTAGAGAACAAAGTAAAAAGTGAGGCACCATTGCTTATATAGCTCTCATTATCTGGTTCTTTAGAGAAATGCAGATTTTCTCTTGCACTTAGCTCTTAGAAAAATTTCTCAAGTGAAATGTGATAGCAGGGCATCATAGCAATTAAGAGCATGCGGTTTGGTATAGGATATACCATGCTTTAAATTTGTGTTCTTCTGGCTTACTAGATTTATGATCTTAGGAAAGTTACTTAACTTCTGAGTCAATTTTCTCTGTGTGAAAAGAGGGAAAAAATAGGAATAAGTGATTTTTATAAGGATTCAGTGAACTAATCTAACATAAACTACCTAGCAGATGATAAAGACTCATAAATGAAATTTTTAAAGTAGTCATTACTGTGATAATGGTGATGTTATAAATATGGTTTTTTTTTTTAAAGATTTTATTTATTCGAGACAGAGAGAGAGAGAGAAAGGATGAGCAGGAGGAAAGGGAGAGGGAGAAGCAGACTCCCCACTGAGCCAGGATCCCAATGGGGGGCTCAGTCCCAGGACCCAGAGATCATGACCTGAGCTGAAGGCAGATGCTTAACCATCTGAGCCACCCAGGCGCCCCATAAATATGTTTTGTAAGGCATCAGTCATCTAAGCAGATAGCAGAGCAACCAAAGTGTGTCGGTCATTGAAAACTGTTCCAAAGACATCCAAGGTACTGTGGTCCAAGAGACAACGTTTGGTGGCCCAGCTTGATCCTTAGAATAATGTAGATTGTTGACATTAACTACCAGTACTGATAGGATTAAGCTCTACCCTATACTCTCAGATAGGATGTTGGAAAAAGATTGAGAACCCTTGTTTCAAAAGCACAGGGTGTATAGAAGAAGCCCAGTTAGGAGTACTGATTCCCAATATAGATCATATTAGATTCAACCTGTGATTTGTGTGCTTGCTACTGAAAATAGACATTTATTTACGTTTCATTGCCAGACAGTATTCTAAGTATTAGGGTATACCAGAGATAAAAAGAGATGAAGTGTTTGCTCCCATACACTTTATATTTTAGGTTGTGCAGATAGACCCCGTATAGATGGTGTTAAGTACTGTAAAAAGAAAACAAACCTGGGTAATAGAACTGTTAGGAAATTCCATGCTGTTACTTGTATAAGGTTCTCACAGAAGACCTCTTAAAGTGGTAAAAGAAGAACCTTGAAGGAAGTGAGAGAGTAAATCATGAAGGTACCTGGTTGAGTACCTTTTGAGAAAGTGGAATGCGAGAGAGAAAGTCAGTCTAATGAATGTTTCAAAGAGGTGGCCAGGAAGAATTGGTAGGAGTGTGAAGACTGCTTGCCCAGCTTCCAGCTCTGCTGAGTTAGAAGACGATTTGATTCAGTCCTGCCACCCCCACAGTCAGGGGACCCATTTGGTGAAATATTGTGAGATCCTGGCACAGATTTACCTTCTCAGCAGATGTAACTGGATACAGGAGGAAGAAATAAAAAGGAAAAAGGGCAAGGGCTTGCCCTTCAGGAGAAGATATTACTCTAGGTTATTTGACATAAGCAAATGGAAGAATGGGTTGCTATTAGTGTCAGAAAAGACTGCAAACGAGTAGTTTTTGGAGAGGAGAGGTAGACCTTCAACATAAGGATCCAGACCCATTAAATGCAAACACTTCATAAATGTTTAAAAATAAATATTGAGGAAGTGGTTAGATATATATAGAGTTCAGGAAATAGGATAAGACTAGACATGAAAATATGGTGGCCTGTAGGGCAGTGTTTTTCAAACTGAGTTGTAACTCATCTTTAAGTTGTAAAATCAATTTATTGGTTTAGGTCCAGGATTTTAACATAATAATGTAATGGGAAGTTCAGTTATATGAATATACACACATATAGGGGTGCCTGGCTGGCTCAGTTGGGAAAGCAGGTGACTCTTAATCTCTGGGTTGTGAGTTCAAGCCCCATGTTGGGTGTGGAGCTACTTAAAATTTAATAACAACAATAATAATAATAAACACACATGGATACCTATGTACACTTTGGGTCACAATATAAAATATTTTTTTATTGTTGTGTGTGTATGTGTTTGCCGTGGTTGCAGTGAAAAAATTTGAAAAACACTAATGTAGTGACTGTAGATAGAGCAGAGGTCTGGGGGCTGAGCCTGGATAATGCCAGTGTTTAGAGATCAGAGAAATGAGGAAGAACAAAGAAGATGGAGAAAAAGCAGTAAGTTAAATATGGGAAGAACAAAAGACTGCATCACAGTAGCCAAGTAATAAAAGTGTATCAAGAACACAATGTATTAAACTGTGTCAGAGGTTTCTGATCCATCAAGAATGATTAGAACTGCAAATTTATTATTGGATTTTACAATGTGAAATCATGGGTGACTTTCACAAGAACACATTTGATGAGGGTGATGCAGACAAACTGATTGGATTTGAGAGAGTGCAGGGGAAGAATGAAGAGATGAATTAGTTTTACTTGAAAGGGGAGCAGAGAAATAGAGTGGTAGCTCAGGAATAATGGAGTCAAGCAGTAGGTTTTTGTTGTTGCTGTTTTGTTTCTGTTTAAGAAGAAAAATATCATATTTCTTTGTTAATAGAGATGATTAAGGAGAGAAGGAAAAAAAAATAGCTAATTCAGGAGAGAGAGAAACAGTTGTTGGAGCAGTGTCCTTGAGGAGCGGAGAGGAGATGCAACCAGGAGGGTTGCCATTAGATAGGAGCATGGCAGTTTAATCCATAATAACAAGAAGGAAGGCAGAGAATATTTGGTTCATGATTCAGGATGTTTTCAGATGTGATATTTGGACCTTTGGAAGTTCTCTTTTGGTTGCTTCTATTTTCTCACTAAACTAAGAAGAAAGGTCAGTACCTGAGAATGAGAAAGGAAGAGAAGACATTGAAGCTTTAAGGAGAAAGGGCTGTCTAGGAGAAGGAATAAAAAATGGAAAAGACCAGGGAAATTGAGATTTGCCCGGTATCCTGAAGGGCTCATGCAAGGGTAATAGTTACAAATTTAAAATAAGACCATTCAGCTTGGTTGGATTTTTTTTTTCTTTTCAGCTAAGCTCAGTTTACACAGGCAGAGTGTCCACAGAGTCATCTGTAATCACAGGTGGGATTTGTTAGATAGGATAGTGAAATGGGAAGGAGAGAATAACAAGGTAGTTGAGTCTTTAGTTGAGTTTTTTAGTTTCCAGACCTTTTAATTTAATTTTAATTGTTTCTTTTAATTGTTACTCATTTCTAGTCTAAAGAAAGTGATCTTCATGATACAAATTTTTCAGAATTTCAAAAGCTTCCTTTATGACCTAACATATGGTCAGATTTTTATTGTTTATTACCATCTTTACTGAGGTATAATTTACATATAATGAAATTCACCAGTTGTAAGTGCAAAATTTGGTGAGTTTTAACAGATTTTTAGTTATGAAACCAACGCACAATGGAGATATAAAACATTTCCATCACCCCCAAGTTTGTTCATGTTCATTTGGAGACAGTCTCCTTCTTTTTATATTGCTGGATTCTGTTTGCTAATATTTTGTCAAGGATATTTATGTCTGTTTTCATGAGGAACATCATCCATAGTTTTGTTTTCTTGTAATATGTTTGGTTATGATATCAGGATAATGCTGGCCTTGTACAGTGTTGAAATATATTCCCTCTTCTGTTTTCTGGAAGAATTTATGTAGAATTGGTTTTATTTTATTTTATTTTATTTTGGGGGAGAGGGGCAGAGGGAGAGGGACAAGCAGGCTCTGCATTGAGCACGGAGCCCGATGCAGGGCTTAATCTCATGACCCTGAGATCATGACCTGAGCCAAAATCAAGAGTCAGACACTCAACCAACTGAGCCACCCAGGCACTGCGGTATTATTTTATTCTTAAATATTTTGTAGAATTTGCTAGTGAAACCAACAGGGCCTGGAGGTTTCCTTGACAGAAGGCTTTGTTAAACTATGAATCCAATTTCTTTAATAGATTTTGTTTTATTCATGGAATCTATTTCTTTTAGAGTGAGCTTTGTTAGTTTGTGTCACTCAAGGAATTGGTCCATTTCATATAAACTGTTGAATTTATGTTGGTGAAGTTGTTTATACTATTGCTTTATCACTTAATGTCTGTGGGATCTGTAAGTTATCTCTACTTTCTCACTTTTTTCTCTCTCATTCTGGCTAGAAGTTTATCACTTGTATTGATATTTTCAAGTGTCCAGCTTTTGGGTTTTTAAAAAATTCCTTTTGTTTTACTTTCATTGATTGCTTTCTTTATTTTTTACTTGTTTCTGCTTGCTTTGGGTTTAATTTGCTTTCTTTTTCTGATTTCCTAAAAGACCTTTCCTCTTTCCTGATACATATATTTACTACTGTAAGTTTCCCTTTAAGCACACCTTTAAGCTGCATTCTAGGGATGCCTGGGTGGCTCAGTCAGTTAAGTGTCTGCCTTCAGCTCAGGTCATGATTCCAGGGTCCTGGGATCGAGTCCCACATTGGGCTCCTTGCTCTGCAGGGAGCCTACTTCTCCCTCTGCCTGCCACTCCCCCCGTTTGAGCTCTCTCTCTCTTTCTGACAAGTAAATAAATAAAGTCTTTAAAAAAAATTTTTAAACTGCATTCTACACATTTTCATTCAATCTGAATATTTGATTTCTTTTGTGACATCCTCTTTGATTCATGAGTTACTTAGAAATGTGTTGTTAAATTTCCACATTTTAGGGGTTTTCAGATCTCTTCTGTTAATTAATGTATAATTTTTAATTTCTTTGTGGTCAGACATACTTTGTATGATTTCAGTTTATTTGAATTTATTGCCCTAAATATGTTCTGGTTGAATGCTCCATGCATACTTGAAAAGAATGAGTATTCTGCTGTTATTCAGAATTCAGGTTTTCCTCTGGTATTACTTCCCTTCAGCTTGAAAAACTCCCTTTAGCATTTCTTTTAAACTAAAATAGAAAAGCCAGTTAGGGACAGGCCATAAGTTCTGTTTTACCTTCTTCATACAAATTTTTTCAAGTTTTAACACCCTCTGCAGTTTGCTTGTTTTTGTTAACTTTTCAGAGTTCTCTGGTAGTTGCTTTTGTATTTTGTTCAGTTTTCATGTGGGAAAGAGAGGCTGTAGTGGGTTTCACTTATGCTAACTAGAATTACAAGTCTCTGTCTTACATCTTTTTATTCCACAATTTAGATAGAATTATTGCTTTATACCCGTCAGTGTTTAGATTTATCTTCATATTTACAAAAAGAAATTTTAATGCTCTAATCCTTTTTGCATGTAATGCCTTCCTTCTAGGATCATTTTCTGCCTTTTGAGGGACATCCTTTAGAAATTCTTTTACTTACAATCTACTAGGAGTAAACTCTGTTTTTATTTCATGTTTTTATTTTGCTTTTATTCCTGAAAGATGGTTTTATTGACCATTCAAATCTGGGTTGACGGTTATTTTTATGTCAGAACTTTAAAGATAACCTTTCATTGTTTTCTGACTTCCTCTTGTTTCTGCTAAGGAAGTCCTTGTCATTTTATTTATTTTTTTTTTTTAAAGATTTTATTTATTTATTTGAGAGAGAGAATGAGAGAGAGAGAGCAGGAGAGGGGGGAGGATCAGAGGGAGAAGCAGCCTCCCTGCCGAGCAGGGAGCCCGATGCGGGACTCGATCCTAGGACTCCAGGATCATGACCTGAGCCGAAGGCAGTCGCTTAACCAACTGAGCCACCCAGGCGCCCGTCCTTGTCATTTTAATTGTTGTTCCCTCATAGGTGATACACCTTTTTATTATGCAATAATAGAACTTTTAAGAACTTTTTGTTTTTGGTGTTCTCTATATTTGTCCTTCCAAGATTCATTGGTCTTCTTGACTCTTAGGAGTGCTACCTAATGTATTCTCACCTATTACCCATGAAATAGTTCCTTTCCGTTATTCTCTAATATATCCTCCTAGAACAATGATTAGATGTTGGTTGAACATTCTCACTCTATCCTTCATATCTCTTTGCTTCTCTTTCATATTTTGTCTGTATTGCATTCTTAGTATTGAGAGACAAGCAGATCAGGTTCAAGACAGGAAATTAAAGTAAAAGCTAGTCTTGAGATCTTGAGTACTAGTTAGAGAATATTAAAGGCATGTAAAATAGAGATTATCTCTGTCACTTTTTGTAGGATTTCTTTTAGTTTAAAACCATTTTGAGGGGCGTCTGGGTGGCTCCGTTGGTTAAGAGTCTGCCTTCAGCTCAGGTCATGATCCCAGGGTTCTGGGATCAAGCTCCACGTCAGGTTCCCTGCTCAGTGGGGCGTCTGCTTCTCCCTCTCCCTCTACTCCTCCACCCCCCACCGCCTGCTCTCTCATGCTCTCTCTCTTTCTCAAATAAAATCTTAAAAATAAATAAATAAATAAAACCATTTTGACTAGTAACTTGCTTTTTAAATTCCTGCTGGTATGATGTGGATGGAACTAGATGGTATTATGCTAAGCGAAATAAGTCAATCAGAGAAAGACAATTACATATGGTTTCACTCACATGTGGAGTTTAAGAAACAAAACAGAGGATCATAGGGGAAGAGAGGAAAAAATAAAACAAGACAAAACCAGAGAGGGAGACAAACCATAAGAGACTCTTAATCATAGGAAACAAACTGAGAGTTGCTGGAGAGTAAGGGGGTAAGGGGATGGGGTAACTGGGTGATGGACATTAAAGAGGGCATGTGATTTAATGAGCACTGGATATTATATAATACTGATGAATCACAGGCCTGTACCTCTGAAACCAGTAATACATTATATGTTAATTAATTGAATTTAAATTAAAAAAAATTTTTTTAAATAAATTCCTGCCAGTATTTATAAATCTAATCCTTTTCGTTTATTTTTTTAGGTCATTGTATCAATGAGTATAGCATTTGCTCAACAAACTGAACTATCTAGAATATCTGGGGAAAAAGAGGATACTACATCGTCAAAACAAGCACATGCTTTCTGTCAGCAAGAACATTTAAATAAAATGAAATTATCACAGGGTCAAACTTTTGAAGCAATGGACATGAAATTTAAAGAAGAATTTAAACCACTCAGTAAAGAGTTAGGAGAAAATGGAAAGGAAGTTCTGTTATCAAACAATGATAATCTTGGTGATAAACTAGAATCGAAGGACCATGAACTGACTATTTCAGAAGAAATGTTCTCCAAAGATAAAACATTTATAGTCAGAGACCCTGTAAGTGTGCTTCTTTGTATAAGAAATTGTGACTTCCTTCACTATAAAAATATTACCAGTAATTAATATTCCTTAATGGGGAAGGAAGGTATCTAGTCTTGACTTAGGGATTAGCATTATGATTGTGTTTTATTACTTATATATGAATAAATGATTTAATATTATTATTAAATAAAACAAGTCTGGTTCATAGTATTGTTAATCTTGTACATACTGTGCATGGTAAAATCTCATTGTAAGTTATACTTGCATTAATTTTGTTTCAGTCAATTTAAGATTAATTATCCTGTAGTTTAGCAGTATGTATGAATAAAATATTTGCTTCATTTAATGTGATAATAACATCACAAGGAAATAGCTACCTGTTTAAGAAGATAATTTGAAATATTGTACTCTGTATATACTAATTCTTTTCTTCTTTACTTATCCATTAATGGAGGATCTCTTCTGTGTCTATAGCACAACTGTGTGTTTAACAGAAAGTAATAAATCCTACATTTAAAAATTATCTAAATTCAAATTTTTTATTAATGTTCAGGATGGGTTATGTCTTGTTTAGAGGCATATTCAAATAAAATTGTCAACTTCTTCATGAAGTGCAAAACTAAGGTATTTGTGAAAACCTCTTTAGTTTACCAGCAACTGTTCATTTAAGTAGTAGCTCTTTGGGAATTGAAGTACTTCTGAACTTCATTAAGGAGTTGATTTCTTATGAATTTGAGAAAGTGGAATATAAAGCTTTTATTTCCAAATAAAAATTAGTGAAAATTGTTTCTTATCAAGCAGTTCTCTGTAGTACTATGATGACCACTGCATAATATAAATTAAATAGGTAAAAATTTTCACGTTTTATAAATTTAATTTTAATTTTAAATTATAAATACTCCATTTATATTATCTCCCCGTCATAAAATGTCAAGAGGGATAATGGAGTTATAGCTTCATTAAGAGCAGAAGGTATCCTGAGGATTTTTAGTCTTTCTTCTTTTTCTCTCTTAGAATCAGATTGCCTCTAAACTAACTGCTAAACAACTATTTTGCTTTTAGAAAATAACCTATGTAATAATAATAAACTAACTTCACGCCAGACTTGGAATTACAATTAAGACAAATTTCTTTTTTTTTGCTTTATTAGTTTAGTAATGGGGATAAAAAATCAGGTGCTTTGTGGGGTTAGAATTGCTTTCATATTAGTTCCTAATGATGTTGACACTGAAAAATTGCCACGAAATGTTTTATGATTGCTGTCTTTTTTTTTTAACTATTGTAGATCCATGATGAGATTTTGGTGTCAAGTATGGATGCTTCTAGACAACTAATGTTAAATGAAGAACAGTTGGAAGATATGAGGCAGGAACTTGTACGGCAATACCAAGAACATCAGCAGGCAACAGAACTGTTACGGCAGGCACACATGCGCCAGATGGAGAGACAGCGAGAAGACCAGGAACAGCTACAAGAAGAGATTAAGAGACTGAATAGACAGTTAGCCCAGGTATGGGACTTAGAGTCCCTTTTCTCCCCAATTAAAATAACAGTATTCTTTATGTAGCCTTTTTTTAAAAGTCAGTATTATTGCCACCATCTGAATAAATACAAACCTTTAACATCAGGAACGGACTTCCATCAGCACAGCAGCCTTAGATCTTGTTAGGAACACCTGACCCACCCTTGGAGTGCCTTGCCTCTGTGCCATTTTATTTATCTGCCCTTTCGCCATTGGAAAAGTGGCTACAAGGTTGTTTGTATGTTTTGAATCGTTCCATTGACCATACACAACAAAAGCACTTTGACAGTTTTGGAAATTCTTTGTGCTGAGATGCAGTTGACAGTCATTTTTCCCATATTCATTTCTAGTTTTGTGAGTCCACCAATTAGCATCTCCAAGGTTTACCTTTATCTATCTATAATCTATCTTTTTAATCATGAATGGGAATCTGAAGTAGTATGTTTCTGGAACTTCCTCCGGGGAAACATCTCTTCTTGATTTGAGAAATGCAGATTTACGTAACATTCTTATCCCTTTCCTTACTCCTTGGTATTTGGGAGCTGGATTCTTATCAATTGCTGTATATAGACTCACAAAATCATTACAGAAAAGCAAGAAATATTTATATAGACGTTCCTATAAAAACAAATTTATTCCATTTATTTTGAAAACTTAAACAGATTAAAAAAAGAAATCTTGAAATATGTTCTTTCAAATATAGAATAATAGGAAAATTGAGAGTTGAACATAAAACATATCATTTGGAAAAATTGATACTGCTTTTCTTCATTGCATTTTGTGAATTCAAACCTCTGAATTTTCAATGCAAAATTGGCGTATAAAAATAATATTAATTGAGCTTCACCAATTCCGGAATTAGCTTTTTTAAGTTTGATATTTTGCATTGAACTTTATATATGCTTTTAACCCCTAATCATGGGATGTAACTCATAGGTAGAAAAGGCCTCTTGGTTCCAGGGGGTTAAAAGAAATATGCTAATTATTTCTGCTTTTTTTTTTCTTCTGTCGCAAACAATATTCTCTCATGACCTTTTTTCTTATTTAGAGATCCTCAGTAGATAATGAAAACCTGGTTTCAGAGAGAGAGAGGGTGCTTTTAGAGGAGCTGGAAGCACTAAAGCAGCTGTCTCTAGCTGGAAGAGAGAAGCTGTGTTGTGAGCTGCGCAACAGCAGTACGCAGACACAGGTAGTATGGACTTTGGCCCACCTAGGAGCAGTGGATCAGCAATGCAGTAGGATCTGTTTGTCTTTGTTGTTGGTGTCCAGTGTATTTTTATAGGCGTTGAGCTTAATGTATTTGTGATTGTTTACATGCAAGGTAGGTGGAGTCCTTCTATGTAAGCTAATTTGCATGGGACATTGCTATAGCAGCACCAGCGGTTGCACCAACTTGATGTCATACTAGAGCCTGCATTAGCTAGAACCCATTCAAGTTCTTTTCATCTCTGTGTTAGGTTGCCTTATCTTTTTTGATAATGCTAATCCCTTGATAAAATGTAGTTAAATATTATTTCAAAGATTATCTCTTTTGCCTGCAGAGATTTCTATTTCACCTCATAACAGTATAGAAGAATGACATGCTGTTTCCAAGATGACAGGTTTTCTTTCTGTTTTGTCCTCTCTGCCTTTATACAAACTTAAGCAGAATGGAGATGAAAACCAAGAGGAAATTGAAGAACAGACCTTTAAAGAACAGGAGTCAGACAGAAAACCTGAAAATGTGCCTCCTGATATTCTGACCAATGAAAGGTATACAGAATGTGTTTGGTGTTTTGTGGTTTTTTTTTTTGGTACAAAGGGAATTAAATAGTTGTTTCAATGTGGTAAACTTTATTTGTCCTTATTTTGATCTTGTACATTTATTTGTCCATTTTACTGTGTATGTAAGGAACTGTCAATTTTTGATAAATAGACAAATTTATAAAAATCTTTTTTATGTAAGGTAATTTTTGTTTGGATATTGATCATGTACTTATCTCAGTAAATGATAAGGCATTATTTGATTATTGAACCTTAATTTTATTCTGCTCATATGCCATTTTTTATCCTAAAAAACATAATTGCACTTGTGAGTGTATTTCTTCAGTATATGGACATGCATTCCCCTTGCTTGTGATGAGAAAAAAAATGAAGTGTGATAGTCTACAGTTAGCTTCTTTCATTCATTTACTGCATATAAGATGAGAACTTTTAATCCATATCCCACTTTTATAGAGGAATAAATTAATGATCCGATGTTAACAAAACTTCCCCTGACTTGATTTTGTAGATGTTAATATAAAAATGTAAAATATTAAATGAGAATTCACCCTCATATTAAGGACTGTAAGCAGAATATTTTAAAATTTGTTTTGTTCAAATGAAAATAATTTCTTTAATTTTAAATTAAATTAATATCTACTAACTTAATTTCCTCCTTTTCCAATTTCTGTGACTGTCAACCCTCTGTGTCCTCCTAACCTCCTTCCTCAGCTTGCATGGAGGAATTTGGCCCCTAAGATTTTGGCTTCCCCATTGGATCATCAGTATGGAACACAGTCAGTATGGAACTCAAACAAGAAAGACAGTGTATGAAAATTAGAGTTACCATGGCAATATAAAATAAACATTTTGTTTATTTTATATTATTTATCTCTAATTGGTATATTTTTAAAACTAGTGTTTAATTTTTAGGAATTTTTGCAGTGAGTGCTAATAAATGAGTATTCATATTTATTTCTCTTTACCATCATATTAATTTTAATCATTTCTCTTATTTATAAATATTTTTTTAAAAGATTTTATTTTTTTTATTTGACAGAGAGACCCAGTGAGAGAGGGAACACAAGCAGGGGGAGTGGGAGAGGGAGAAGCAGGCTTCCTGCCGAGCAGGGAGCCTGATGCAGGGCTCAATCCCAGGACACTGGGATCATGACCTGAGCCGAAGGCAGACGCTTAACAACTGAGCCACCCAGGTGCCCCTAGAAATATTTTCAAATTATCCTAATCCTGAGGTGTTTGGGGCTTGAACAAAACCTAAGAAAAAATTAAATAAAACCCTTAACTGACTTACTACTAACTAAATTACTTAGAGTTTTATTTTTAATGTCCTGGTCTCATGTAAGCAGAGAACTTGATCTAGGTACAAAAATAGAACTCTCTCTTTCACTGGACAAATACTGAAGGAAAACTTGTCCGTTTATTACCTTGTCTTAAAATAGTTATGTCATGTGCCTGTGAAAACAGATATCCTTTAACCTGATTGTTGGTGATCTCCCACAGTGTGAAGTTGAGAGAGCAAACTGTCTTAAGGCAGAGGACCTTTACCATAAAAGTCTCTTATTTTATATTAAATATAAAGTTTGCCACTATAGTACTCTTATTGAATTAAGCTATTAGGACAACAGAATTGTATAGTTATTCAGAAGATTAATCAGATAATCTTCTGAATCAGCATTTATGGGAGTATATTTCTTGACATGAAAAGATGTTGTGTTAAGCAAAAAACAAAAAAAACTTACAAAAACTCTTTGCTCTGGATAATTCCATTTTTGTTTTTTAAAATGTATATATTGATGAGGTGGAGGGGAAGCCTAGAAAAATAGATCTTAAAATGTTAACAGTGATTATTTTTGCTGAGATATTTAGGTGGGTGGTTAGCACTGTTTTCTAATTTTTTTTTTTTGCAAATGAAAATGACATCTTTTTAAAAAGACAGATGCACTATTAATTCCATTTGGTTGAAAATAAGTTCCTTCTGGCTGAAATGAATGTGGTTTATGTAACTTGAGAAATTTCTGTCTCTGGAGCAGATATAATAAAGAATGTCCTATGATATTCCCTCTGGTGCTGGCAGATAGTGATATTGCACAACAGACCTTTTTAAAAATAGGTCTCTGCCTGTTTTTGTAATTTAATTATCTAGATTATCACCAGGAAGTTGTAGAAATATGCATTTTTCTGATGGAATTTTTAAATTATATTGTTTGACACATAAAAAGATTAAATGTGATTTTCTTCCAAGTTAGAAACTTTACTAACCTAAAACTTATATGATTTATTTAAGGTCAGTAAAGTATTGCACATTTGTAAAAAAAATGTTAATAGTTTACTGATGGACCAAAATCTTTTTAGAAGAAAACAAATTTTATAATGTAATTCTTAAATAAAAAACAAAAGCACTTCATTTTAAGTGCGATTGCGTATTATTTCAGTAGAGAGGGTCGTATAATATTTTTCAAGTCAGATTTTTTGTGGGACATAAGCTAAGTGTTTGCTTCAAAAAGATTAAGCATTTTAATAAATGTTTCTTTATCTATACAGGTTTGCACTCCAGAAAGCTAATAACAGACTTCTGAAGATTCTCTTAGAAGTTGTGAAGACAACAGCAGCTGTTGAAGAAACAATTGGTCGCCATGTTCTTGGTATCCTAGACAGATCTAGTAAGGTCCAGTCATCTGCCAGCTTGATTTGGAGATCAGAAGCAGAGGCACCTATAAAGTCAAATATCCATGAGGAACACACAGGAGGTACTAGTTTGAGACTATCATCATTATCTTCAATAAATCTTTCTTAGTTCAAGGCAGTTTTGCTATGTGTTGAAAATACAGAAGAGACAATATTGAAGTTTTTTCCAACAAGAAAATCTTGAGACACAAATACTTTGGAGCCAGTATTCTCGAAACACCATTATTGTATAGCAGTTGCAAGTGGGTATCTTGGAGTTGTTGTTGTACATACTCAGGGTTTTAACTACTTTGCTATATAAACCAGAGACTGTTTAATTTCTCCACCATAAAAGAAAAATTCCACATCACTTCTCAGGACACTTACCAGTATCCATGAGGTATTGGCAACATCCTGAAATCACCCTAAAGATTAGAAATAAAGAGCTTTTAAGAATCAAGCATCAGTTTCACATATCTGTTGAGGTGGTTAGAAGAAAGTCTTGATAAGAAACCCAAGACTTGATCTTTAGACTATCCTCTGCTAGCTCCTTTCTTCCTTTCGGAAAAGTGGTTTGAAGTATGACAGAATATGTGTGGATCCAGAGGTTAGATCCTGACATGACGTAGCTCTCTTCCTAATTCTCTCTTCTTCCAGCTGTGTGGGCTGGGCTCTTCTTTGAATTTCTTGCTTTCACGCTGCTGACGTCTACCCTCTTGTTTTATAATTCCTTGTTGATGAGGAAATCAGGCAATCAAAAGGTGAGAAAGTTTGTCAGATGGAGAAAGATAGGGTCTGGACTCTTGGATCAACAGATCAAGTCCCTACTTTACTACCATTCCACACCCAAGCATTTCTCTCCAGTTAGAGGCCAACCTTCTAAAAATGCCAATATTTGCAGTGTTTGAGAGCATTCTGTTTAAGTTTCAAGTGGAGAAATGAGAAGAAATTATCCCACTTACAGAAGGTTTACCTAATTGCAAGTTGGCCAGTAGTCTGTTTCCAAGTGCAGAGAAAAGCTTGATTTGGAATTGTAAGTAAAACTCCCTCAGTTAAGTACAAAGATAATTTTAAAAACCTCTTGGGGTGCTTGGGTGGTGCAGTCGGTTGAGCATCCAACTCTTGGTTTTGGCTCAGGTTGTGATCTCAGGGTCATGAGATCGAGCCTTGCATTAAGCTCCACCCTTAGCATGGAGTCTGCTTTGAGTTTCTCTCTCCCTCTCCCTCTGCCCCTCCCACTCGTGCTCTTGCTCTCTCTCCCTCTAAAATGAGTAAATAAATCTTAAAAAGTTTTTGGAAAAAAAAAAACCCTTTTAGTAAAATAAGAGCTGAAATAATAACTGAATTTTTAAACTTTCAAATTCATCTTTTCAAACTTTATAGAAGTATTTTGTCAAATTAATTTCACTCTCTGTTAAGCTCTCAATCAAGGGCTATTTTATTTCTACATATAGATCTTGATGTATAGAAAAGAATTAAGTAATACTTTCTTGGTCTTATTGTAGAAGTGTTTATCAAACTAATTAGGATGACCACTAATACCATTTGGGGACACCTAGATACACATTTTGTATCTTGGAGGAAATACTGAATTAATAGAATTTATCATTTAAAACTGAATTTTCTGATAAACTTTGAAGAATATATTGGCTTAAAAAAAATTGACACTGTTCCATTTATAAGAATTTTTTCTGATGTTCCTTCATATTTTTTCATGGAGCCTTATTGTAAAAACTAAAGGAACTTCTGAAATATTTCTTTTATGTCTTATTTAATATGACAGAAAAAGTTCAGTCTTATTCTGATTATGAAACATTTGCTTTTCAGTTTTTATATATGACTTTTTATTGTCGGTAGTAGTACTTGTGATCTATTTTCAGCTTTCAAGTCCAAACTTGTTTAGATTTTATGCATGTGTGGACTTGTTAACTCTCTGAAGTAAATAATTGATTTGCTAATGTGTGCCTCCTCATAAGAATAACCTCGTTTATGAAACTAAAGGGAGATTTTGAGCCAATGTGAAATTATGTTGAACTTGAGTGAATATTAAAGTAGTTCATAACAATGAGTTCTCCTAGGATATGTTGAAAGAAAAGTTCTTTGAGGCCTGCACTGTGATGGCTCAGTGGTAGAATGCTTACCTCTGTTACTTTTGTAATAGGAAAATCAATAAAGTTAATACATTTTTTAAATCCTAAAGGAAGGTGACATCAGAACTTAACCATTGACAATAGTGTGCTTCTTGCTAGACTGACCCCCTTGGGAAGCCTTCCACTTTCAGGGGAAACTAAAGTATGTGAATACCTCCTGGGAAACTGCCTTTAGGACCATCAGCCCAACCTTCCAATCTCCTCAATGACTGCATATCTTAAATATTCCTATTGTTTCTAGGATAAAGGCCAAATGTCTATAGCCAACAGTAGTTATTTCCTAGAATACTCTTTAATGCTGCTTCCTCAGAGAGGTCCTCCTTGACCACTCTATCTCATTTAGTCCCTCCTCATTTTCCCCGATGACCAAGCACTGAATCTCATCTGCTGCAGTGTCCTTTTGGAGTAGTGTGATGTGATAGAAAGAATGCTGGGTTAGTAATCTAACCAGGCTTTTGATTCTTACTCTAGCTCTCTGCAACTCTGGGCAGATCAGTCTCCCAGGGCTTCAGTTCACTTTACTCATCTGTCAGGTATAAGAGGCAAAGTAGAGTCAGTGTTTCCATTTGGAGCTTTAGAGATCTTCAGAAGGCCATTGGGCTAGGGGATGCTCTGTCGGATCACCTACCCTGCTTAATCTGGGAAGATAAGGAATGAACATGGTATAAATCCATAAAGTAAATGACTAAAGGACTTTTGAATAACCATCATCTGCTGTGTTTAAGACACATATCTGAGTGCTTCACCAATGTGAAATCATGAGTCTCTTCACCAAACTGACAATTCTGAGATTTCTGTTGGCATTTTATGAAATTGCCCTGCCAATTTATGTTTTCGTCTGGTTTTTCTCCCAAAGACTAGTTATTATAAATACAATGTAACCTTGATGTCTTTCTCATTCTTTTATTTCATTGGAATAAGCAACAATAGAAGTTCTGTTTCTTCATTGGAACGTATTCACATTATTTTTGTTTGTATCTTCAAAATGTTACCAATAAGATACATTAAGCTAGTTGACATCTTCACCTTTTCTAGATACTTTAATATATATTTTTTCATTAACATTTGAAAAAATTTCAGTGGCTTTTTATAAGCCATTTTGTTTTATGTATCTTTTGTAGTTTGTGCTTGAGATTTGTTCCCATGCAATATACAGTATCTTTAATTTTTTTCCCTCACCATTGATTTCTTTTTTCCCCAAAGCATGTTGATATCTTCATAATATGGGGGGGGGGAAGTGCGTTCATTTTTCTTAACTTTGCTCCTCACTCAAGGTAAACCTTGACCAACTCAATGAGAGATTAGACCAACTCCTACTTTTACCAGCTTTGGTTTCTCTTCCTACAGTACCACAGCTGTTCTCTCTGGACAACAGTGACTTCCCAGTTGTCAAATCCAATAGCATCTTCTCAGTCCTCGTCCTGTTTGAGTGTCTAAACAAATAACATTACTGACATCTCTGCCTTTTATGAAATGTTCTCTTGTCTCCTGGAACATCTTCTGTCTTTCTGTGACTTTTTTCCACACAGGTTCTTTTGTTAGTTTATATTATGGAGGCGCCAACTATGTTTGTCCTCCTTCTCTCCTGAAACAGGAAAGCAATTGTTTACTGCTCATGAAATAAATGTATCCACTTTCAGGATTTCGACTCTCACCTTAATACAAATGACTTCTAAGGCTCTGCAGACCGAAATTTCTAAGAGTTGACTCATCTTCTCTACCTAGTCCATTAACACTTCCAACTTCATTTTTCATGCCTGCTCTATACACTTTCTCCTGATTTTTAAAGTATTTCTCTTAATCACTCTTCTGTCACCTAAGAATGATTTATGCTTAAACCCCAGAGTCATCTTTTACTACTTTCTTTCTCCCTTGTCTTATACATTTAGTCTTCTCCGACCTGTCCCCAACCCCCCACCTTTCAACACTTCTCACCTAGGCTATTGAAATACTCTTCTTTTTTTTTTTTTTTTTAAGATTTATTTATTTATTTGAGAGAGAGCTCACAGATGGAGAGGGAGAAGCAGACTCCCTGCTGAGCAGGGAGCCTGACACGGGGCTCGATCCCAGTACCCTGGGATCATGACCTGAGCCGAAGGCAGACACTTAACTGATTGAGCCACCCAGGTGCCCGGATTGAAATAGTCTTCTAACCTGTCTCTTCTTCAGCCCTTTTTCTGCATTGCTGCAGTTTGTTTCCTGATTCCTAGATTTTATATCTTCCTGTTCAAAAAATCATTTACTACCCATTCTTTATAGCAAAACCGCAAGATTCCTATAAAAGTTAAAACCATTCACAGCCTCCTTTCCAGCTACTTTCTTTTAGCTCCAGCTACCTGCTTTTAGCTCTCCTCCCATCCCATCCTAACTTCTCCACATACTTTCACCCCGTAAAGCCTTGGCTCCGCATTGTATCAAACTATTCTCTTTCCTCAGGTTTGTCAAATTGTCTGTATTTATTAGAAAGAAAAGGTCACTAGAGTGCATTTAATTTTAAAGATGCTATATAACATATATTTTTAGTTTTAAACACCAATTATAAAGTTAATATTTCTTGCTTCCATAGCTTCTTCAAAAATATTTATTTTCTAGACTACATTCATTTTGTTTAGTAACTTTGTAATATATACATTGTATTATACTTGATATGAATTCATTTTGAATTCCAAGATCCTTTTGAACTCATGAATACTTACGAAATATTAATCCCTATTACCAAGACATTCAGTTTTGAATACATGGAATAATATAAGTAAATATTAGTCTGGTTGCTGTCTGTTTTTAAGTGTTGAGAATAAAAATACAAAGTGAAAATTGTATTAGCTGTTACACTAAGAACTTAGTGTAACTAACTGCAACTGGAATGCAGTTTTGGATTCTCTAGCCGTGACTTGTACAGAGGAGGTACTCAGTGAATATTGAATGTGCTGCATTCAGATATTTACCTGATATTGTTAATACATGAGATTGAGAGAAATACATGGCACCAGCTACTTTAGCTTAGCTAGACATTTTAATAAATAGCTCCTCTTCTCCTGGATGACTAGATCAAAATGAATATCCTTTTTTTTTGTTTTAAAGATTTTATTTATTTGACAGAGAGAGTCACAGCGAGAGAGGGAACACAAGCAGCGGGAGTGGGAGAGGGAGAAGCAGGCTTCCTGCGGAGCAGGGATCCCGATGCGGGGCTCAATCCCAGGACCCTGAGATCATGACCTGAGCCCAAGGCAGACGCTTAACGACTGAGCCACCCAGGCGCCACCCAGGCTGCCTAGTTTTGTTTTGTTTTAAAGATTTTGTTTATTTATTTGACAGGGAGAGATAAACAGCGAGAGAGAGAACACAAGCAGGGGGAGTGGGAGAGGGAGAAGCAGGCTTCCTGCGGAGCAGGGATTCCGATGTGGGGCTCGATCCCAGGACCCTGGGATCATGACCTGAGCCGAAGGCAGATGCTTAACGACTGAGCCACCCGGGCGCCCCTCAAAATGAATATTCTAAGTTCTTTGGAAATTAAAGTTTGCTGTTAATTTGTTCACTTTCTGATAAGTTACTGATAAGAAATAAGCACTACATGTAATAAAAGCATAGGTCATTCCTCTTCAGGATATTTCATTGTTGGGTTGTAGTATGCTGCCACAGATGAATACCGTATTCCATGACAGCAATAAATAAGCTATGCTTTTATTTCAGTTTAGAGAAAACACTTCCAAAGCTTATTCTCTGCTCATGTAAACTCAGTTTTTTTTTAAATAAAAAATAAGAATAGTGTGGATACATACATTCATAGTTAAATTAGTACTGCTCATCAGTCTATTAACCTCTTTGTAATATACCTCTTACAAAATTTCAGGCTGCAAAATGGTCTTAGTCCCTTTTACTGTCTGGCCTGAGCTTGTGATGCTACCCAGTATAGTGCTCAGAAATCAGAGGATCTGTGGGGTGCCTGGGGGGCTCAGTCAGTTAAGCATTCGACTCCCAACTCTTGGTTTCAGCTCAGGTCATAATCTTGAGGTCCTGGGATCAAGCCCCGCGCTGGGCTCCATGCTCAGCAGGGAGCCTGTCTAAGGATTCCCTCCCCCACCTGTCCTTCCCCCTGCTTGCTTGCTTGCTTGCCCTCTCTCTCTCTCTCCCAAATAAATAACTCTTTAAAAAAAAATCAGAGGATCTGTTCTAGACAAAATCTAGCACTTCTTCTATCCTTCCATATACCTGGAATATCCCATTGCACAGTGTTTTTCTTTTCATATCATTTATGTATTTATTTTCTCATTATACAGTCCTTGAGCATAGGAACCAGATCCCACCACTTATGTGTCTCTATTACTTAGTAAATCCTGCACGGTGGGCACTTAGTAAATATCTGTTGGAAGTTGTTTTAAAAGTTTTTATCAAAGAGGGGTGCCTGGGTTTCTCAGTTGGTTGGGCGTCCGACTCTTGATTTCAGCTCAGGTCATGAGATTGAGCCCTGCATAGGGCTCCGCACTCAGCAGGGAGTCTGCTTGAGATTTTCTCCCTCTCTCCTCTTGCCCCTTCCTCCTTTGTGTGCATGTGCGTGTGCTCTTGCTCTCTCTCTAAAATAAATAAGTAAATCTTAAAAAAAAAAAAAGGTTTTTGTCAAAGAAAAATTACTGAATAACCCAAGTATTAATTTCTGCAAAGCCCTCTTAGCACAGCATTATCCTTCTCATTCTGCCTGCTTGGTTATCAAATAATATTACATTCTGTATTTCCCTATTTGTTATATTGCAGTGTTGTTATTAAAAGGCCTTAACAAAAGACCTGTAGTTCAATGATTTCAGCTTTTAACTGATTTTATTTTGTAACTTTTTTTACTGTAACTATTATTATAATAGATTTATGCCTTTAAAATACTGTTATTCCGGGGCGCCTGGGTGGCTCAGTTGGTTGGGCGACTGCCTTCGGCTCAGGTCATGATCCTGGAGTCCCGGGATTGAGTCCCGCATCGGGCTCCCTGC